ATCTGCAAAACAATGCCAGCTTGTGAGACCTCAGAGGTGTGCCTTCTCTGTTACTGCTCCTGTTTCTTGAAATAACATTTCTCCCAAGGTCAGTTTGGCCCCAATGCTACTGACCTTCAGTATAGCATGACTTGGCTTTTTTAGCAGGCTATGGATTGGGGCAATCTATGACCCACTTGAATGGTTCCTATTGAATTGTGAATTCCCCAAAATGTTGTTGTTATTGTATTTAGTCTTGTATGGTTACTACTTTTTAAATGAAGTTTTAACCCATTGGACACTGCCTAAAATAATTTCATTAGGAGGCCCTGTCATAAATAAATAAATAAACAGTACCCAGTCCCTTTTCAGATGCATCAACTGTAGAATTAGTTGCTCTCCTAATTTGTAATATCTTAGGACAGGGGAATTAGCTGTAGGTCTGACCATTCTCTCAGAATAGTCTGTTTTGTCCGCTCTACTTCAGTTTATTTAACTACCTGCTTATTACATCTATATCCTGCCTTTCATTCAGGAGCTCAAGGTAGCGTATTCAATTGGAATTGCCAAATGCAGGTAGCATTTTATTATTTATTTATTAATCAAATTTATATGGCCACCCATCTCACAAAAAGTGACTCTGGGCGGTGTTCAACAGTCCAATAAAACAATATATATAGTAAATATTAAAAACTATAAAAACAAACTAAAACAAAAAGGGAAAATAATAGGTGAAGGGATGTTAATAATAGAGCGACCTCATTAGTACACCTGTCCCCTGAGGTCCCCAGGGCTGCTGGCATAACTAGGTCTTAAGAGACCTTCAAAAACTCAGGAGTTATGAGGCCAATCTCAACTCTGGAGGGAGAAGGTTCCACAATGTGGGTACCACAGCAGAAAAGGCCCACTGCCTAGGGCCCACCAAACGTAGCTCAATAGAACCCGTAACATACCTATTCTGCTAGAACTGGGCAGATGAAATCAGGGAGAGGCAGTCCCTCAAATAACCCAGTCTCATGCCATGAAGGGCTTTAAAGGTCAACACCAGCACCTTGAATTGGACCCGGAAACAGACTGGTAACCAAGGCAGCTTGTGAAGCAGAGGTGTAACATGTGTTCTACCAGAAACACACATAACTGCCCACACTGCCACAATCTGCACCAGCTGAAATTTCCGGATACTCTTCAAGGGCAGCTCCATGTAGAGCGCATTGCAGTAGTCCAATTGGGAGGTGACTAGAGCATGAGTGACCGTTTTTGCCGGGAAGTTTATCCTTCCCATGCAATCCTGTATTCCAGTCACATCTTTTAGTAGTGTCATGTTCTGAATTGACTCAACTTTTTGAGATCTGGTTGTAGTCCTTCCAGTAACAGTACATGCACAAAGTTTCATTTGCTTTGGGTTCAATTAGATGTTCTTCTCCCTGTAGAACTGAAGAAAAGACTAGCTTGCAGTCATAGCCCTTTTCTGTTCATTCGCTCCTTGTCCAAAAGTCAGAATGTCACCTATAATTATCTTCATGCTAGACAAGTATTTAAGTGCCTGGTTTAACTTCTCCTAAAATACCCATCAGAAGTCTCAACCATGTATATCTGCCAAAAGCAATTGAAAATGTTGTCAGTTTGCTTGGGTGTTCATCCAACTTCAAATGGTAGAAACCATTGCTGACATCACAGACTGTGACTATTCATCTTCTAGGGGAATAAGCAAGATATTTTCAACTGTAGGCATTCAATAATGTTCAGTTCAATGGCTTGGCATCTATGCAGATCTTTAATTTGCCTGATTTTTTTTTACTATGAACATACTGCATATCTAGTGTTAGATTCTTCTGCAATGATGATACCCCTTATTTAGAGGCTCACTACTTTCTTACAAACAGGCTCATCCAATGGTACAAAAAAATTCTTTCCTGGTAAGCAAACTGGGTGTACAAGTGGATCATTATTTTCAAAACAAGCCATCACCCTTGAAACATTTCCATAGGTCTCCTAAATTGGGAGGATTGGGGACTATTTTGTATTATATAGATGAAATTCTGACACTATATTTTAATCATATCCATTGCTTCAAAGGCTGTGTTGCCTAAAAGAATATTGAGCATTTGAATGTTACAAGCCAATTTAACAATCCAAAGAAAAACCACAGCTGTGTTTTTATAGTTATTCAGCATGGGATTATGCAACAGTTGCCTATTAAAAAAAGAAAGCAAGAACTCAAAGATTGCCATAGTAAAGAATAACATGTAGCTCAAGGTTGACATGTTGTGCTGTTAGAGTTCTCTGAGCTAGGTTTTTACGTTGCAAAATTTCATTATCATGTTAGGTAATATCATCAGTGCAAGAGATGTGGGGAAGTAAGTTTCCTTGATTGGCAAGGGTTGTATATATCTTTCTGTTATGTCAGTTATGTTCATGATTGAGTGGAAGAGTTCCCTGTGTGGCAGATTTTTTTCTTTTTTCTTTATCCCACCTTTATTTATTTTTTTTATAAATAACTCAAGGTGGCAAACATACCCAATACTCCTTCCTCCTTCTATTTTCCCCACAACAGAGCCCTGTGAAGAGAGTTGGGCTGAGAGAGAGTAACTGGCCCAAAGTCACCCAGCCGGCTTTCATGCCTAAGGCAGACTAGAACTCACAGTCTTCTGCTTTCTAGCCTGGTGCTTTAACCACTAGACCAAACTAGCTGTCAGTTAATTTACATGTGAATGAACTATTTAGTTATATCTTTTGATAGGTTCATAGATAGGATTTAACTTAATATGGTGTTGATCACAACATGGTTGGAGTGCCATGCTTCTAGGAATTCTCTTGCATTTTTTGTCCTGGCTTGTTCCAAAACTCTACTGTTTCCCAGTTGAAGTTATGACCTAGATTGTCTTTGTGGAGGGATATTAAGGGATCTGGTATTGCATCATTTGACTACTAGTTGGTGCTTGTGGATATGTTTTGTCTCCTTGTCATATATAGTGATATTCATAATCTTTGCATTTTATTTTTGTAATAACTTTATTACATTTTTAAACAAGAAAGATGAAAACTATCAAGAACTAATATTTAAGATAAAAGAAAGGAAATAAAGAGAGAACAAAGCCAAAAGTGCAGAAAGAAAAGAAAGAAAAAAGAAATATAAAGAAATGACTTCCAATTTTCTTTTACAACAGTTATAGGTATAAATTTAAATCGAACTCTAACTCTAGCACTACAACATAACTTCCATTTTTTCTATCATCTAATACTTTTTCTAATCATCAAACCCAAATAATTTCATTTTTTTGTGTTTCATGCAAGAAGTCCAAAAGGAGTTTCCAATCGGCATTGAATTTAATCAGTGTCTTTAATCAGAGCTGTCAATTCAGCCATCTCAGCAAACTCCATCATCTTCATAATCCACTCTTCCATTGGGGGTAATGTCAAATCTTTCCACCATTGTGCATATAAAAGTCTCACTGATGTTATATATAAAAATAAAGTTCCATGAGTTTTTTCCAACTCTTTGTCAATCAGTCCCAAAAGAAACATCTCTGGCTCCAGTTGTATATTAATCTTTAAAATCTTCTGAATTAATATATGTATTTGGATCCAAATTTTTTTAGCTTTTTTAAATGTCCACCAATCTTTGCATTTTATTTTGTACTAAACTGTTGTATTGTCTTTTTTTGGTACTGGGTCTTTGGATTGGCCTAGAATATATTGCATGTACTTTGCTAGTATGGTTATTCTGAATATTCAGTAGCCTGTTGGTGGACTTTGAAAAGCCTTTAATGTAAAATAGGGCAATCCTTTGGTAAGCTGTGATGTTTGTGTTACTTTCAATTGAGTGGATGTGCACTTTTTGATGAAGTTCTGAGGGTATCTGTTACACTGATGTATTTTTTGTGGGTCTGCTTTTTGTAATTCTGATATACTGTATTGTATTATGGCTCATCTGAATGGGGGGTTTGCACAGCTCTTTTTATGTGTGGTTCGACTGCTACTTTGTGGAGGATTTGATTTGTATGGCTTGTTCTCCAGGAGACTTGGGTTTGTAGTGTGTTTGTTTTTTGTTGCTGATAAGCATTTATAAGAAAAGTAGTTTTCCCCCCTTCTATTGTGAATTTGATTCTGTGTGGTTGATTAGGTTATTATGTGTTTTCTATCTTTTTTGATTATCCATATTTTGGGTTGTATTAATGGAACTAGTTTCTAGTTGTTGCATTACTGCTTCTGTTATGAGTCCTATAGTTGTACTGCAGTTATGAAAGGACAGGTGCACATTTGATTAGAAATATAACACAGAATTATAGAAACAAAGCATGATTTGTCTCCACATGAAAAAGGATCTGAATAATTTCAGAGCTTTTTTCATGTGGAAAAAAAGTTATTTTATTTAATCTTTTTTTAAAAAAAATATGTCACTGACAAAACAGTATTCCTACTTTACAGATAAGGTGGTTTACTACATTAACGTCATAAGCCAATAGTAACGTTGTTTTAAAATTTCCGTCAAAACCCATTTTACAAAACCCATCCCCCAGGCAGCACAAAGTTTCAGAAGTAATTTCAGATGTGTTTGCAGGCTAAATGCAGAGCTTAATTGCAGCACAAGTCTTTTCTTTTACTGACTTGCTTATTACAGCCACGTACTTTATTAAGGCTGCGGGAAGTATGTTTTTCTTGGAACTAAACTCCAATGGAGTCCGTGGAATCACTACAGCTTATATAGGACGGCACCCTTGAAACTTAAAAACTACAGTATTTAAAAAGAAATCAAGTTGCACGTGAACTAAAACAAAAATCGGCTCTTTGGGGGAGGGAATATGTTAATCCTGTTCAGCCATAACCAGCCAACATTCTAGACTTCGTCAGTGTTTTCATGAGGAACTCTCGTTTTTCCTTCTAGAAAAAAGAGGATGGTCCGCACTCTAATTTAAAGTAAGTCTATGAGCGAAGTAGGAAAAAATAACATCCGGTCCCAGGATGCCGCGGGCTAGCAGCGATCTTCGAGAGGCTTAAAAAAAGGGGCGTAGAGTTGCGGAGAGCATGCGCAGTGGGTCTCGGCGGGTAGAGGGGTTTCAGCGCTCTTTTGTTTGGCGGAGGCGGATCGAACGCGGGAGGCCCTTTGCCCAACCGTTGCTCTCTTGCTTCAAAACGAGATCTGCTCTTCCCGACTGTAGCCGCGGCTCCTCTGCCTCTTTGTGCTTCTTTTTATCTTTACATTTCCACTCGTGGGTTCTTGGTGGGGCTGAGCAAGGTAAAAAGGGGAGAAGGGAACAAAGTGGGGGAGCCCAGATATCGCGCGCGCGGGTTATGAGGGCGAGGGCGGCCATATTGGGGGTGGGCTGAGGAGATTTTTTTTAAGAGGGGTTCTGAAGCTCGAGATCGTGAAGGATTGGGGAGGGTCTGCTGGGAGAAAAACAAAAAGAAACGAAATTTAGAGTGGGAATTATGAGTGAGCTGAGGTTAAACCTAATTTGGCCTTAAGCTTCGGGGGGCAAAGAACACATACGTGATGGAGTATGGAGGGGACTTTCCATGAAGAGGTAGTATAGGCTGGGTAAGGCAGGTGGGGTACGTATGCTACTGTATTGAGACAGACGGAATGTACGAGATACACCGTAAAATATAGCAAGCCAGGGGGAAGGCTGTACAGATTACAGTTTGGGGGAGACGCTTTTCAGAAAAACATTGAGTGTATAATTGGGAATACTAAGTATGTATGCTTTATATCGGTGAAAGGGAGGATTAATTATGTAGAGGGAGGTGGGGAATGGGGAAAAATGAAGCAATGAGATAATTCTGGGTTCCAAATAGATGCAAACATAGTGGGGGGAGAATCCAGTCTTTTTGACTGAGAAAGTTGCTCCAGAAAAAAATTAGGGGGTTCTTGGAGGCTTTTTTTTTTTTTTAATGGAGAGAAACACAAGCAGGGATGGAGTAGATTTGTATGCTCAGGAACCAAGTAGGATTTTTTTCCCTGAGATTGGTGTGTGTGTGGGGGGGTTAATAAGATGTTTAATTTCATTTTTCTGTAGATAATATGTACACTGGTGATGAGACTTTTTGGTTAATAAGTTAAACTGTTAGGATATATAGTTCTCATTGCAATTACTTGTGAAAATGAATTTTGGGTGGTGGAATTGGTCCATTGGTCTCCCTAAGTTAATTAATGTGGATTAAATTATCCAATTTTTGGTGGGGTAACAAGGTTAATTTGATATGTTAGAGGAATGGCATAGATAATAGTGTAATATAGTAGAAGTGTCCAAAAAACCCGCATGGCCCCAGGCATTCCCAAAAACTATGCAGATAATGAGAAGAACCTGTTCAGTTAATACATGATGTGATTTGGAGCATAGTCAAGCCAGCTAACCATTGCTAATTAGCAAGGAGTCAGTAGATCCAGAACGAACTGGTGAAAAGAGCCTCTAGATCTATGCCTTTAAAATGTTGATGTATTTATTATGGTGAAGTATTATTAAAAATCCATTTATGGAGCTATACTTGGGATGAATCAAGTATTTATGATGGGTTATGTTGGTAAATAGTAATTTATGCTTTACTTTTGGCTACATTTGTATCAGGAGCTTGGGTTTTGTCATACTTTATCAGCACTACAGCTAGATCAGGCAGAGATGTACTGTATTAACTGGTCTAAGATAACCTGTAATATACATACCTGACTAGGGATTTGAGCCTAGGTTTCCCCAGTTCAGGTTTAATACTCTATCCTTTTACCACACTGACATCATTTGTATCAGGAGCTTGGGTTTTGTCATACTTTATCAGCACTACAGCTAGATCAGGCAGAGATGTACTGTATTAACTGGTCTAAGATAACCTGTAATATACATACCTGACTAGGGATTTGAGCCTAGGTTTCCCCAGTTCAGGTTTAATACTCTATCCTTTTACCACACTGACATCCTTTTACCACACTGACGTATGTTTAATGCACCTAGGTATGCAGATCCAAAGAGTTAAACAGACACTGTCAGAGATGCTGATAAGAGCAGTATCTGCAACCCTGCTAAGTTCTTTCAGGAGCCCTTCAGTGAACACTCAATCATTTTGCTGCTCCTGATAGTAAGTACTTGCTCCTGGGATGTATTTTCAGTACTAATTCATATTCACAAGGTAGTTTACAGTACAATAAACCATGAAATACTAAAGCACAAATAGAACAGTATAAACTTGAACATAGTGTGGTGTAATGGTTAGAGGGTTGGACAAGAACCAGAGAGACCCATGTTCAAGTCTGCACTCAGCCATGGAAGTTCATTGGGTGACTTTGGAGTGATAATTACTGATCTTGCCAGGATGTGTCAGGACCTTGTCAGGATGTGAAAGTAAAACTGGGAGAGGGAGTATTATACACATCAGTTTAAACTACCAGAGGAAAAAAGATTCACATTCCAGATACACAGCAGTTCTATAAATGCCTCACCTTGTTGTCTGTCAGTCTGCAGAAGTTTAGTTCAACTCACTAGTTGCTCCCGTAAAGAATCACTTCTTTTTCATGGGTTGATAAAAATCTTTTTTCTCTTAAAATAACCAGGTTTAAAATGAAAACTTAGGTTAATGCACAGTCTATTAGAATAGAGCTTACATCCTTATGAAAGATGACTTTTCTATGTAAAGAACAAGCAAGGAAAACATATTAACCCATTATCCGGTATAATAGTTTATGGCTTGATAGTATGGACCAAGAACCAGTAAGCTATCACAGATATTATGCTATGGAGCATTTAATGTATTTTATGCTTAAGAACTTATAATTGAAAATGACATAGTTATATTAATTGTATGTATTATGCCCAACTCCTTCACTTTTCTACTTATCTGCCCAGACACTATAATAAGGCCTAGATAATGCCTGGCAGTATTTTTTGTGAGATTGGTAAGAGAGGAATTTGTAGGACAATAATTAAATGAAAATATGTTTGCGTTGAGTATCTCTTGGGAACTTAATTCTAGTGCAATGTAATAGGGCCATGAAAGTTAAATGAACAGTTTGCAAGGGTTTCCCCCATACTATTAAAAATAAGTGAACTATACTACATATTCTGAAATTATATAAAGCCTAAACTTGTGTGTGTTCTTGTATTGCTATAGTCTGTTATAACAATTGTTATTTATTTTGGAAATAAATAGCAAGCATTTGGCTTAATTTTCCATTATTTTTAAAGTGATTGAAATACTTGCTTGGATTGTCTTGATGTCTAGCAATCCAGCCTGCTTGAACTATACAGTGTTTTTTTGTTTTTGCTATATGAATAAGGGAACTGATTACTTTTTCAGTAACTTAAATGCACTTGGAAGTGTTATGGTTTCAGTGGTGGGGAAATAAGTTTAATGGAGAAATTTGGGATGGCAGATAGGTATAGTGGAGAAAAGAGATAGCAAAATGTGGAAAAAAGACATTCATAATAAAAGGATATATTTGAAGCAAAAAAAAGAGAAAATAGAATTAAAATACTGTTTTTGTGGAGCTAGGGTGAAATATAAAAATATAGGGAGAAGGAAGTTTTGCCAACATACTTGCCCTGTTGTAATGTATTCTGCTGCATTTTTGTTATAAGCAGACATTTTGAAGCAGAAGTTAAGGAGAGAAAAATGTAAAAGGAATCCTCTCCTTGAGATTTTCCTCCCCCATTCAACCACCTTTCCCTAATCTACTGTCTGAAAAGGAAGCAGATGAGGAAATGGAAACTAAGTAGGGAGAGAAATCCTTTTACATCTTCCTCTCCTTATAGATTGTGCTCTTTCTATCCTGACCAATAGTGTTTTTGGTTGGAAGGAATGTGACATCCCTGCTGGAAGTGAAACAGAAATTTCTT